ATACGAAAGGAAACTGTTGGGGTGTGCGTGAAGATTCTCCATACGCCGTGGTTCAGACCGGTCGTTTCCTCGGTCCGTTAAACGGGACACAGCCGTTCCAGCTAAAGACGATGGCAGATTACCTCTGTACATGGCGGAATTTCATTAACCTGTGAACCAAATGAGGTCACAGTGGCCGCGCGGTCTGAGGCGTGGGCCTTGTGCCGCTGGGACCGTGGGTTCGAATCCCACTCAAGCCATGGATGTTTTTCTGTGTTGGGCTGTCCTGTGTACAGGTAGAGGCCTTGCGACGGGCCGATCCCTCGTCCAAGGAGTCCTACCGAATGTCTATAGATCAAAGCCAACGAAAAGTTAGGACCCGCAGTGCTGAAGCACTTGAAGAACGGGTCGTTCCCAGGATCCAGTGAACCAAATGTTTTGGATTTATTGCAGTCAGAGTGTGCAGAATTACCACGGAGAGAGCTGCTGTCTTGTTCCGTGACCATGAAAACATCCTACCCAGAAGGCATGAGTCAAAAGAAACCGGTCCCGATGTGCGCATTGCAGCATCAAGGACAGTGACATTTTGACTGGAACGCCGAAGGCAACCGACTGAATTATTCTCGCTCGGACGTCGGCCATGTCAGCAGACACCGAGCGGCTGGGGTCTCTCGCGCATGGTGGCAGCACTAGTAATGTCGTAAAATTGATGCGCACTCAACACAACACATTCATTCCCCTGAGTTACTGTTAAAGCTTCACTCTAATATCACTGTGTGATTTTATACAAACGTGTCCTTATTTCCCACGTGAAATATCTGTTCCCCAATGCGATACGGGGGTGTTTTCCCAACAAATAAAACAAATTATGCTATGTAAATAAAATATAAGTTGTTGATAATGTCTTGAATTATGATTCGTCTGTTTTAGGTTATGTTGTATGTTCTTTATCGATAACTCGATTCATTTATACTGAATCTGTCGAAAATATCCAACTCAGAAACCTTTCATCTTTGTCCATGATTAGAGAAGGATATTCTCGATGGTACGTGAGATCAAATTAGGACTAAAAAAGAAAGGACTGCAAACAAATTAGGATAAATTCATGTGTACAAATGTTAGTAACAGAAGTTGATTAAATGCCTATCTACTTAGGCTTGTGATGAAATGTGAGACAGCCATCAAAAACTCGGCAAAATTTTGCGAAACGTAATTCTTTAGCATGTTGTTTCCTTTGATTTCAAGTCCACTGGCCCCATTTTATTTAAATTCCAGAAATTAACACTGACATCGCCTTTCAGTCATGAGGAGATCTCAAAAAGTTGTGGTAGTTAATCATCGCATTTGAAAGCTTTCTCGGCGACGAAAATATGGCAGTCATCCCACTAACAAGCACGCCTGAAAATTTTCCGAAAGACATTTCAGACGTTTCTCGTCCTGGAAGGACAACTGGTCCTCAAACCGCCCCACGAGGAAACCCGGCCCTTGCACCAACTAGTCGGGCCATCTTCAAACACCAAAAGAAAAAGAACACTTGCCTACGTGAGTCAAGACTGGAAATGTATTCTCCTCGGAACCACACAAATTTGAAGGTGTTTCTTACTCCACGCACTGCTGGAAGTTATCTCCAGCGATAATAATAAGAGTAACCTTCCGCTTCGTGCCATATGTTCACGTATTAGTCTGTGGATGTGACATCTTGGCATGCGATAAGTTACTGCCATGAACAGAACAGCCTTACCTCTGACGTTACTAAGTTCTGTAGCCAAGCCAGTGACTGACTGCAACACAAACGTTACTTTTAACCCACATCAATAATTTCCGCTTGGCTAAACAGTTGTCTGAATTCGCTCTGTTTCCTGTGAAACTTGTAGAGTTTTTGTAAGCCTCATGTCAATTTTCTGTGCAAGGATCTTCTTATCCTGGTAGTCCAAATGTATTTACATGCATACTTTTC